TATGGGCACCTGATTGGGAGCTTCATTGTGACAACATGCCCACTTATGCATCATGTCTTGTGCAGAGTTTTTTGGCAAAACATTAAATCCCCAGGTAACTCAGACCCCCCTACAGCCTAGGATTGGTGCCCTGTGATTTCTGGCTTTTCCCAAAACTAAAATTACCTTTGAAAGGGAAGAGATTTCAGACCATTGATGAGATTCAGGAAAATATGACATGGTGGCTGATGGTGATTGGGAGAACTGTGTGAGGTCCCAAGGTGCCTACTTTGAAGGGGACGAAGGTGTCACTGTCCTATGTACAGTGTTTCTTGTATCTTCTTCAATAAACGTCTCTTTTTCATAGTACATATACATAGCTGGATACTTTCTGGACAGATCTTGTGTTCTAACTTCCCTGGTTATGCTCCACTATAAGAAGAGTTGAATGAACAGTGGAGATGTTCAGCACAGTATTAACTGGGTGTTTAATAAGTATCCCCAGGTTCATTTATTTTTATCCTTACCAGAGGACATTTTTTATTGCTTTTTTTTTCTTTTTATAGAGAGGGAAACTGAGGAGAGAGAAAGAGAAAGAGGAAGAGAGAGAGAGAGAGAAAAACATCAGTGTGAGGGAGAAACATGGACTGGTTGCCTTTTCACATGTGCCCCAACCAGGGGTTGAACCCACAGCCCAGGCATGTGCCCTGACCAGGAATTGAAACTGTGACCTTTTGGTCCATGGGGTGATGCTGCAACTAACTGAGACACACTGACCAGGGCCCCAAGTTTATTTTTTAACTTCATTTTCATTGGTGACACTATTATAGATGTCCCCAATTTTTCCCTTCCTTGGCCACCTCCACCCAGCCCCCACCCCTTTCCCAGGTTCATTTTTGCCAGAAGAAATGTAATTGTAGGGAGTTAGTAAATTTTTATTGTTATTGTTCTGATATTATTGCTGTTATTTTATTAAAATGAAACTGAATTTATTTTCTCTTCGAATTCTCTTTTTTTCTTTTTGGAAAGAATTTCTGGAATGACGAAACGTGGTCTTTCATGCTTGGATGGGAGGATATAGAAATTTTTGTTTAGCAGGTAGATTAGCACAAATTTCAAAGGAAAAATAGCAAAATATAACTAAGTTCAAGATTTTTTAGTAGTTAATCTGAGGGAAGTGGTATCTTGATAATAGAGAGGATACTTAAATATGTTTGTTTCTCCTGCTTGAAGACAGATTTGGTCAGTAATGGATTGGAACCCAGTAAGTACAATAAATGCCAGTAGTCCACATCAACCGAAATAAAGAAGTGAGTAAGCGAGTAAATGGGAAAGGAAAGACAGCCCTTCCTTACAATAGAATTCTATGAACAAATAGAAATGGATATAGAAAATCATCATTAAGCAAATGGCACAGTAATTATAGTGGGCGAGAATTTTCAGTAGATACAAACATTAGTGGGCAAAGGTATGATTAGAAACAGGATATCTGCAGAATCCCCAAATATCTCCCTACGAGATTACAAAGGGTGGAGCAACCTGGCAGATACTACCTTAACCAAGTTACAAGTTAACCAGTAATGAGAGGTTGTCATCATTTACCTCCTGATGGCCCAATTTTACTTCTGTGATGTTCTTGCCAAAAAATGCACAATCTCAACATAATCATGAGAAAACATCAGACAGACCCAAGTTGGAGACCATGTATGAAATAACTGGACTGGACTCTTTAAACATGTCAAGGTCACGAAAGGCAAACACAGAATGAGCAACTGCCCCAGGTTAGAGAAGGCTAAGGAGACAAAAGAAACTGAATGCTAGGTGATGTCCCCTGAACTGGATCTGGGGTGAAAAGAAGGACATTTTATGAATGTCCTTGTGGATCATTTTTGTGAAATTTGAATAAGGCCTGAAGTTTGCCTAATTATTTTTTATTAATTAAAATTTCATTATTTTAATAATTAACTGTGGTTGTATAAGATGTTAACATTAGGAGAAGTTGGGAGAAAGGCGTTTAGGAACTCCATATAATTGTTGCAGCTTTTTGTGAGTCTCAAATTTCAAAATAAAAAGTTAAAAAAGAACGTTCTGGTATGATTTTGAATGATTTGGAATTTCTCTGTTGGCAGGAAGACGATAATTATATACCATAGGACACCTCATATATAATCTCTTATTCTCTAAGATTTTCATTTCACAGTGAATGTTAGAGGCCCTTCGGATTCCTTGCCATTTTTTTTAAGGACTAGCCCTTTAACCTGTGGCCTGATTGAGCCTTCGATAGTCATCCTGAAGCCGTCATTTCAGCTTTAGAATTGTGAAAGACCTGGAGCAATAGTGACTTAGTTCCAAGTGGCAGTGGAATGGGAATGTAACACTTTGGTTTATCTTTTTTTTTAAATCTAGTTCAGCTTTCGATAGCAACATTTCAGAAAACTATCTGTAATCTGTGAAATCCAACAAATGATAAGATGAAAAAGTGGACCTTTTTTTTTAACTTATGCCTATTTATTACCTCCCCAGGAATTTTAGTTCTTGGAGGGCAGCTTCTGTGTCCCCTTGCTCATTTGTGTCCCCAGGCATCCAGCCAGTGCCTCACCCATAAGTAGGCTGCCAACAAGTCTCTGGAGAGGACGCAGGTCTAAGTGGTGGGGGTGGGGAAGAGAACGGTGCAGTTTAGGGGCTTATCTTTATTCCAGAAGTATCAAACAGGGTGGGAAGTGGTAGACCTAACATTTTGTGATTACAGATTTCATAGAAAAATTGATTTACCTTATTAAGGCTTAATTCTATATAAACCTTTCACCCAAAAATAATAAATAGGGGATTCAAAGTAGAGAGAAAGGCAAAAAATATTAAGAGACCTCTGACCTTCCCGTTGGCAATAATATGTCCTCTGATGAAAATTTATCACTAAACATCCACCTGTAATGTTGACTTTTTACTGCATTGATCTCTGTCATTGCTCACGTTAGCATTTCATGTGTCTATTTATCTCCTGTTTGCTTTGTCTTTTTAAAAAAAGATTTAATCTGTTTTTTAGAGAGAGGGTAGGGGAGGAAGAAAGAGAGAGAAACATGGATGTGTGAGAGAAACATTGACTGGTTGACTCTCGCATGCACCCAACCAGGGACCTGGCCCGCAACCCAGGCATGTGCCCTGAATCGAACTGGCGACCTTTTGGTTCACAGGCCAGTGCTGAATCCACTGAGCCACACTAGCCAAGGCTTGCTTTGTCTTGTATAAACTGTATTTGATTTAGCTGTTATATAAATTGCTTGTCATTGAAAAACATCAGAATTTTTAGGGGTTGATTTTGAGGGGTTTGAAGAAAGTCTTCATCTGTCCAGAAACAATTTCAGATGGTGTAAGAAGGGTACAGAACTGTCCCATAAAGTGAAAAAACTTCAGATAGCTGCTTTTTTTTTTTTTTTTTGGTGGGGGGAGGTGTTAAAAATTGATTTGTAGAACATCACTAAGGTCTGTTTGGCCCAGATGATATTTTCTCCCAAGTCACCTTGACCCAAAAGTTGAAGCAGTATTAATTGTTTATCTTCTACCTGAAATGAATCAGTGACTAGTCAGGACCTGAACTCTGATTCCTTAATGCTTCCCATACTTCCACTTGCTTGCACCTTCCGTTTCCAAGGGCATTTCCAAGGAAAGATGTCCAGGTAGTGTAACAGATGAAACAAAACTGGCTCTCAGTAGAATAAACATCTAGCCAACTTTTAAAAAATTATGATAAAATTCACATAATATAAAATTAACCATAATTCTTATAGTGATTGTTAAGGAGGTTTTATATAAGGTACCAGATGAAAATGCAGCATTCCCCCCCCGCCCCCAGCTAGAGAGAAAGGTTATAATTAAATTAAATTTATGTGTTATTACACTTCACTCAAAATAGATAGAACTTGCCTGTTTTGTGGTTCTTCATATATTTAACTAACTTAATTCATCTGCAAAATAATTTTTTTGTGTGAGGGGAAGGATTAGATTTTGAATGCCTTTTAAAATGTATTATATTTATTAAGTACAATTTTAGCTGCCTTAGTTATTTTTTTATTCTAGTTTTCTCAAAGCACACTTCTTTCCCTTAGTTGTATGAACTTCCACCTAGATACATTTTATACCAAAAAATACAATGTTTTATGAGTCAAAATTCCTAAGGTGTGTCCTGTATCAACTTGCTGAATGTCTGGAAGCCTAATATCAAATAGTTTGATTTTTCCTAGTTATAAATCTTTCAAACAATGTCCATTTAGTCAGTGGACATTATTATTTTTTAGAATGCCAGCTTAAGAGCAGTGAGATTTGCCTGCATTTGACTTTGAAATGCAGCTTAAAAAATGATTAATCTGAAATGTCATTTGGTTCGGTGTGAATTATTGTTTATAAACCTTGGGTTCACATTGCCACCCCTAGTGGAAATGGGAGTCTAGCCACTAGAAATAGCTGAGGCATTTCTTTTCTCTCAGTAGGTGGATGGTAATGTATGGTAACCAAGGGCCCCTTGAAGTTATCTTTGTCAGAAGATAATGATTTTTACTTTGCCTAGAAGGTGCCATTCCCTAAGTAACTAATGAAGTTTTCATAATTTGGAGGCATTATCCATCTACCTGACCTTAGTATGTAAGGGTTCTAAAGCTAGAACTATAATCTTTTAAACATTTCTCAAATGAATCAAGAGAGAGAAAAAGCATCTTTCATACATGCCCACAAATAATTTGTGAAGTTCAGAAATTTCATTGTCTGGTCTTAGTCGCTGCTTATCGAAGAGTGGAAGGTGATCAGTGCATTCTGTCATTGCACCTTGAACGACTCCTAGCTGTGACAGACGATGGGGGATGAGCTGGGTGTTGTGCTTGTGTTACTGCATGAACAGTGTAGACGAAGAGGTTTGCAAACAGCTCGTGTAGAAAAGGTGAAGTAAGCCAAACAAGGAGAGATCATAAAAGGCTGGTGGCTCGGGCCTCATTGTGACTGAAATCTCATCTTTATAATGTGTCTGGTTTCAGATTGCCTGTTTGGTACCTGTGGATCAGTTTCAGCTTTATCAGCGGTTAAAATTTGAGCGAGGTATGTATGCACTCTCCTTTTTATCCCAGTGCTGAATGTGGTTTTACATGTGTCGTCTTTCCACTGACCTGCATGCAAGATTAAGGCAGCTGTGGGCTGTCAACAAAGCCACAAGGGTGCTCAGAAAGGGGAAAACTGTAATTGCAACACACAATTTCAATGTTCTCAGCCTCACCCAGAAAAAATACAGACTAGCAGGAAATAGAACTCTCCTTATATTGGTTGTTTTGTATTTTTAACTTGGCTCATGTGAAAGAGGTTCTGCAAAAGTTGGATAGTTTCATAATAACAGTACTATTACAAAGAAAAGTGATCCTCAGAATGGGTTTTACTCTGAATTTTTGTACTCATGGAGATCACTCATAAAACATTAATCAGCCCAAATATTTTTACTGCTTATAATATAATATTTACCATTTGTTCTTTTGGTACTACCTTTATAATTATAGTGATTGCTGAGTGTGTCATTTGAATGAGATTTACAATGTTTTGGACTAGTTTTCTTTCTGACTTTGGATTTGGGGTAATTTATATAGCTTTTCTAGTTATCCTGCCTTTTGGTCTGTAGGAATTATATTTTTAACTTCTTTTGGCTTCTCATAGATCTTTTTTAGGAGCCTTTCCTCCTGTCACACCCTAACATGTTCTTGAACTAAATGGTCTGTTTCTTTGTATCTGAGAACCGGAGGAAAAAAGTTATTTCCCCTTGGCCTTTTAGGACTGGTACAGTCTCGTTGAGTGTATAAAATAAACTAACGTGGTGTGAACATGCAGTTTTCTGATTGCTGACTTTTTAATCTGGATTAATAAAGGCTACAGATGAGCAGGGGTGGATGGGGGGGATGGACATTTATCTATCATGTGCCAGTAAGTTTAGTAAACACAATTACCTGTATTTCATTTAATTTTTGCAACACTATGACATATAATTCTTACTTGAAAAAAGAAAGAGAACCATGCAGTGCATGAGGGGCTGAGAGTGGGAGTACGCACCTGCAGGGGAGTCACAGCACGGCTTTCACTACCAAGGACCAAGGTCGGGCTTAGTCCCACAGGCTTATTTTTTCCAGCAAGCCAAAGGCGGAGTCATCTCTCACAGGTGGATCACTTAACTGAATTTATAATATTGATAGATTAAGGTGGAATTTATGAAAAAATTCTTGTAGTAGATCCCTCAAAGTTGCAAATAGGAAGCTAGGAAGTAGAATGTTGTTGAACATAGAATCAGAAGCACTGAAGTCAGGTGAATTTTAGGTTTCATGATAAAAATATAGCTTGATGAATTTTGCCCTGTGGATTCTGAGCTAACTAGAGAAATTAATGATGGGTAGTTTATATTGGCCCACCCTAATCTGTCTACCTGGGCTGATCAGATCAAGCGTTGTAAAATCAGGTGAAGGTTTATTGGATGTCACAGCCAAAGATGATAGATACTGGGGCAAACACCTGTCCTACCATCCTCCCACTTCATGACAATGTCCCCCACTATAAAAATAAATGACTGTTAGAACGGGGACATTTTAAGTATTCACCTGTGGACGGATGTAGTTGGTAGCAAGTACCATGATTTTGGACCTTTTGAAAGGAAAGTGTCAAAGGAGTTAGACTTTCAGGCTTCTTCTTAAATGGTGAGACCTATAAACTCACCAGTTCTCCTTAGTAACCAGAGTTCAGCCTGTCTACAGCATTCCTTTGCCCATACACACCTCTCTTCTCCCATGTCCAACGACCTCTTCCACACCCACTCTGCTGCTCCTTCTCTTAGGCCTTATTCCTCATTCTTTACATTTTAGGGACATACTTATTAGCTAAAATGCCTTTTTGTAATTACACAAATTCTAATAGTACCAAGAATTAAAGCTTTCTGTAGGTGGTTCTCATGGATAAATATTAAAGTTTCAGTTTAATTAAAAGAGCAGTGGCTAAGAGCCTGGGTGGGAATGCAGGCTTGACCACTTACTAGCCATATGATGCTGGGCAAGTTCCTTAATTTCTGCACCTCATTTTCCTCATCTGTAAAATAGGGATAATGATAGTCTCTGCACCATGGGGTTGGGATGAGGGTTACGTGAATTAATACTTGTGAAGCACTTCCTGTGGGTACTTCCTGTGTCAGTTGTTGTTAATAAAATACTAATAACTTCAGAGTAGCATCTTTTTCAATAAAATATACTCAGTGATCTGCTATTCCCTTTTTTCTGAGATGAGGTAATCATAACAGGAAATACGCTCACATTGAAATATATATTACAATTGTCTTTCTGTTAGTGGGATTAGAACGCTAGAAGCCAATTGACCACATCCATTTTTTGATTTTGTTTTTTGATGTTGTACGTTCTATGGGTTTGAGAAAATTTATAATGACATGTGTACACCATTATAGATACACTATGTAGCCTTCTCTGATTGGCTTCTTTCACTTAGTAATATGCATTCAGTGCCACATCCATCTTTACAGTAGGAATAGCCTTACCATTGGTGAAGCACGCATGAAAAATCACTGGCCAAGACTCTTACAGTTTGCTTTGTGACTGGAACTTTTTAATGTTCTTATAGTGTTCATCCCTACTTGTGATTGGCTTATTTCTTCATTAGATATAATAATGTATTTGATCTGTTACAGTCAAGCTGAGCAGGTTTTGGAGCCAGACTGTCCTTTATAGGTAGTGTTGCATATCTCTGCTTTTATGTATTGTAAGGTGATCACATAGTCTTGCTCATACATAGAATTTATTTTTTTCTCAGGGTCTGTGCAGATGCTCTACAGTAGATTCCCATGAACTGACAATTGATTTTATTATTCCTTTTTTATAGATACAGTAACTAAAATTGGAGGGGTTGAAACTTGCCTAGGATCACATTGTATAATTTTCCTCACCTATCAAAAATTTTAAGTTATATAAATTTTTATTAGGGTAAAATATGTGTAATGTAAAATTTACTATTTCACTTATTTTAGGTTGGCTTATTTCACTCAGTATAGTGTTTTGAAAGTTCATTCATGTTGTAGCATATGTTAGAACTTCATTTTGTTTTGTGGCTGAATAACATTCCATTGTACCAACATACACATTTTGTTTACCTATTCATTGTTGATGGACACTTGGGTTGTTTATGTGTGTTGGCTATTGTGAATAATGCCGCAATGAACATTGGGGTGCAAGCATCTGCTTGAATCCTCTCTTTCAGTTCCTTCGAGTATATAGCTATGAGTGGAATTTCTGGGCCATGTGTTAATTCTGTGTTTAGTTTTAGAGGAACTGTCAAACTGTAAAACTCTGTGATTTAATTATAAGTTTAACTAGACATTTTAATTATTTTAAGTATGGAAGTATGTTAAATATGTAAGTATGTACGTTAAATCCTTTGACCATTTGGTTTATCTCGCTCATTTTATAAAAAGGGAATCTGAGACCCAGAGACATTTTGATCTTAGGTGATTTTGAAAGGAAATTTGTAATCATGTAATTCCTTATCATCATCTATTATAAATAATTACATTAGAAAATAGACATTTCAAGTAAGGATAAATTTATGTTAATACAGCACTATATAATGGGATTTACTTGATTGGGGTACTTTACATTGTACATCTCATTGTTACATAGTAGACTTCATATTCACCTCAAACTCCAGACTTACTAGCTAGGTGACTTTGAGGTCTGTGCCATGAAAACATTTTATGTGAAACCATTTTGAAGAGGATCTTGGGGTGCAATAAATACCAATATTGTGTTGAATGGGTTAAACGACTAAGTGGCAGAAAGTGAAACTCATTGGCTGGGCTCTGAGGATAGAACTGTAGAGACAGTCATTGCTCTGATGAAATGCAGAATCAGTTCAGTGGCTTCCTTGTATCTTCATTATAAAAATTATTGTTATTTTTGACTTCTGGCCAAGATGGAGGCATAGGTAGACACACTGTGCCTCCTCGCACAACCAAGATAGGGACAACAACAATTTAGAAATAGAATAACAACCAGAACTGACAGAAAATTGAACTATATGGAAGTCAGACAACCAAGAAGTTAAAATAGACACGCTCATCTAGACCAGTAGGAGGGGTGGAATCGGGCAGCTGGGCGTGGGTTGCGGCCCAGAGAGCATTGGGACCAGGTACCTAAGGCATCCGGGGCTCTCAAGACCACAGTGGGCGGACCCTGAGAGCACAAGCGGCAGCTGGCAGAACCCCACAAGCCCACCCACATGGGAATTGGCACCAGAGGGGCCCAGTTTGCTTGGGGGAAGCAGTGGAAGGGACTGAGGTCTGGTGGAGAGTGGAGCAAGTGCCACTGTTCCCTCTCAGACCCCTCCCCCACAGACAGCGTCACAACCCAGCTACTGGGTTGCCCCGCCCTGGTGAACAACTAAGGCTCTGACCCTTATATGTAACAGGCTTGACCAGACCAAAGGGAAAAAAAAAAAAAAAAGATGGCTCAAACAGAACAAATGAAAGCCCCAGAACCAACACTTTTAAGTGACTAAGAGATAGTCACCCTATCAGATGCACAGTTCAAAGCACTGGTGATCAGGATGCTCCCAGAATTGGTTGATTTTGGTTGCAAATTAGATGAAAAAATGAAGGCTACAATAAGTGAAATGAAGAAAAATGCACACGGAACCAATATTGATGGAATGAAAGCTGGGACTCACATCAATGGAGTGGGCCAGAAGGAAGAAAACAACATACAATCAGAAAAGAATGAAGAAATAAGAATTCAAAAAAATGAGGAGAGGCTTAGGAACCTCCAGGATATCTTTAAACGTTCCAACATCTGAATTATAGGGGTACCAGAAAGAGTAGAGGAAGAACAACAAGTGGAAAAGTTATTTGAACAAATAATAAAGGAGAACTTCCCCCATCTGGCTAAGGAAATAGACTTCTAGAAAGTCCTGGAAGCTCAGAGAATCCCAAAGAAGTTGGACCCAAGAAGAAATACACCAAGACACATCATAATTACATTAGCCAAGGTGAAAATGAAAGAGAGAATCCTAGAAGC